ATATGGTAGGGGGACCAGACGTCCTCTTTTCCCCCCTGAAATGTCCTACTTTTCATACCTAAAAAAAATGTCCGGGGGGGGGGGGATTTCAAAATGGGCCTGGATTTTGGTCGACTACAGTGCAGCACGTAGTCCGAACATACCGTGCACTCGAACCGAACAGTCAGCTCTGGGGCCGGTCCAGAGGAATGGGGGCAGGGAGCCAGCGGGGGGGCGGAGCGACCGAACCCGACCCCACGCCTGCCTTACTGGCCCCCAGCTCCCCCTCCTCCAGCTGTGACGGGTGGCTCATGGCTCTCTGCTGGTGTCCGGTCCAGTCAGCGGCCCAGCAGTCTGCACTTCATGCTTGTTTACCTCTCGCTGCATGATGTGTAAATAGTTGTAAGAAACGGAGCTGGGCACGGTTAACTGATCCAAGCTGGACCTGGATCAGTTTTCAGAGGGTGGCATAAATGGGGCTTTAGACGTCCAGTGAATGTGGTCATGGAACCTCTCTAGGTTCATAGACTGACAGCCAAACACAAATTATGTATGTTCCCTTTTGGATATTTGCTGCTTACTTAGCAGCTCATTAGCTTAGCATCGTCATAAATAATCCAGTGTCTTGTGAAACAGTCTTCCTGAAAGCGTCATTTTTCAATAAACTTTGTCTTCTTCCTGGGGCCAGTAGATCCTGGCTCGCCCTCCTCCTCTTCGGCATGTTGTCTTTTAGAAGGCTTGGTTGGAGTTGTTGTTAAATGACGGGGTGTTGAGGGTGAGCTCTCTGTACGCTGGTCTGTCTATCAGCGTGCGAAGAACAAGGGGACAGAGGGGAGACTTACCAGAGCAAAAGATGAAAGGATGTGACTGAAGCGCATCTGAGGTTCAAACATTAACTCGCCCTGTGGGGAACGGTTCTCTGGCATTAACTCCGCAAATTAAGAATGTAGTCTCATTTTGTATCCTGGTTGCAACATGATGATCCATATTAGGGATGAGTATTGACATACCATACATGTCACGATACTTGGGTTACAATACGATATTATCACGATATTGCAATATTACTATATATTGCAATATTTTTTACCTAGCTATCAAATTTAATGTATAAGGGAAAAAGCAAGTGCTTTACATTTTCTGTTGAAGTTAGTGATTATTT